ATTAAATTATATTAGGTATGCCCATTGAAAATTGTTCTATTAACCACACGACACAAGTATACAAAATTTATCATCATCTCATGGAAAACTTTTACAATATGCGCAGTAATCGCCTATTACAGTCCGTTGCAATTATGATACCTTCTTCCACAAAGTTTACATCACAAAATCTAAATTTATACAAGCAAATGATGTTAATCTACTAAAGTATGGATTGAAATCTAACAAGAAAATATTCATACGGCACCGTGGTACTTCAATTAACAGCATTATGTTTGATATGTGTTATACGTAAATAAATTGTTGAAGATTAGCAAATTCCTTATCAAATTTACACCACTAGTATCTGATATCAGGAATTTCAGTTTAGTCACTTTGAAAGATCAGGCAACACAGCAATTTGTTGTAGCGCTTTGATCACAATTAATGCTTGGTGTGACAATATAAACACATAGCTTTTGATCGACTGAAGAATGGAATGAATAAGTTTGCATTTACCATGAATTCTGAACAGACATCTAACTTGGACTCCAACCAGCTCTAGTTGTCTGATGTTTGGTTATCTTTAGTCAAACTAAAGGCTGTTCGTCAATTTGTGCTTTCTAAAAATTTTATTTGATCTTGAAAAACTAGCATGATGTATTTAAACTTTGAATACACATCTGTGCCATCATAACAATTTTTTAAGGTAGCCAAAAACATGATCTAACTTCACTATGATTTGAATTTAAAGTCTATTAAGTTATTGTCCATTCGGAGAAAATTTGTAATTAGAAATGCTTAAAAATATTAGGTTTTCCATCTATTTGAACTTATTACATTACCCAAAATCGTTTTTGATTAGATCATTGATATAACTTTTATATTTAACATTAATCAAAATAAATGAAGCGAAGAGTGAACGAGATAATATGAAAACGAGACTCACTAATTTGTTAGATTGAGAAGAAAGCTTCAGGATTAAAGAGAATCTATATACATTGTTGATTTTCTGAAATAGATAATCAAAATTAATTCGTCATATCATAAAATTAGAACAACATTCTTAGTTAGGTTTTACAGCAAATTCTTTATGTAGTTCTAATTGTTAAAATTAGTAGAATCTCTCCTAATAATCAGATATATTTATTAATTTTGATAATAGAGTACCAATAGAGAATACCATTTTCTAATTGTTGATTACTCCAAGATTTAATGGCTCACCAAAAATCCAAGATTCTTATTTGAGAGTAAAATAAAATGATCCATGTTATCTTTTACTGGAAAGCTACAATATTATCATAACGACCTACTTTTAATGCTATAAATAGAGATAGAAAAAGATTTGATTGAGGAAATATTCATTTCATTTGCTAATCGCTTATACAAAATTCAAATCAAATCACAAGTAAAGTCCTAGAATTAGATGCTGTTATATCCTAATAAGGAGAAATAAAATTTTTAACAATTAAGCCTTCTTTGTTCCCTTCTGAACTGTCGGCAAGTTCAAACTCTTTATGATAGGCTTAAATTCAAGATTCAAATATTTAATATATAGCTGAGAAAGATCACACAATTCATTTTTTGAAATACAGTTTAAAATCTTCCGAACTGATTGGTAATATATACAAAATAGAAAAAAGTTAATTTGAGGGAATATCTATTTTGTGAATCAAAATTTTATTTGGAATGCCTCGAAGAGTCATAGAACTTAGGTTTACAGAAAGGTGAATATGTTTTGAAATTGTTATTGCTAATAAATTTGCCAAGAAATGGTTGATGTGTTTATTTTCTTTAGCTTGATGCTTTTTCTAATAATTAAGTGAAGAATCAAAAAACTAAAACCTTAATTAATATCTTTTCTGCATATGGATAGGACTCTTGTTTATTCATAAATAAAATCACCATCATATGCCATATAGCAATTCATAATTGAACCTTCTTTCTTGAAGGGTATAAGCTTTCTAGAATGTTGCAAAATTTAATAAAACTCCTTGGATTCGGTAAAATAACAAACACTTTGCAGCCTCTAGCACTACATAAGAATTTTTCACAAATAAAATATTATAACAGATATACTTCTGACAATACAGGGGTGAGTCATTTCAAACAGTCACGTGATTATAAATGGCCCCACGTCATTCATCATTGTTTCTAATTTGGTTCTAAGATTCTTCGTGTAGATAAGAGGTATCTAGAAATGATCCTTTTCATGAATACAGAAATATCCAGTTAGTGGCCTTACTCCGAATACTCATGAAGTCCATACTTTCTCCTGATTCCCCTTCCAGTCCTCTTTATATGATCAAATATTCCAACTTCCTTAACTTACTCTCAATTCTGGTGTTTAGTTTAAGATATGTATTAGTAGTAACAATATATGTTTCCCGCAGTTTTCGTTGGGGTTCATCGGAATTGATTCAACATGAGTTTCCATTCCTTCCTCGATCCTGTTGTTAAATGACTGTTGACTACTAAAGACATCAGTGGCTATCCATCTCTCTTTTCTGAACCTAGTATTATCCTCCTTTCGGAACGGCAGTCCCAACCAAATTATACTCTTATAAGAGGACTATTTGGTATCCTTAGTAAACTTTGTATATCTTGTGTGAATATCCTTAAATACTCTAACTTGATGATTTCACTTATCTATTTTACTCCTCTCTTCCGAAATCCACTCTCCTTGTAAACCCTTTTCTTGGCTATCCTCATTCCACTATAAATGGTCCATCTTACTCCCTTTGAAGGATCGATTTACTTAGTACTTTTGGAACTCTTTTAACTTCCTTTGAGAAATAGAAGTCTTTTAGTATCTTAGGAATATCTTAAAATCCTAACTCATATCAAAAAATTAGTTAAAAAAATTTTAGATAAGTCAATATCTCGGTAACGAAATTTAATAAACATATCAATGTTCTAATACCTTTTATCTCATTAAATAAGAAGACTAATACTAATGAATGGTATAAAGAAAATAGGAATAAATCAAAGATAATTTCTTTTTATTTGAAGCCTATTCAAGGTTGAGTTGAGATCAAAACAATTATGAAATTCAGTCTATAAATATTTTTAGAAGATATATTTTTGATTATTATGTTAAACAAACATTATATTTATTTACATCTAACCCATTTATTATTTATTTCAACTTACACTAGACCAAGAATAGTCAACATTGAAAATCATTCTGAATCTTGATTTTTTTGAATTATCCATTTAAGCCAATAGTTTTGAAAATTTTATTTATTCACTTACAATCTGCAGTGCTCTCGTCCTTAATTCAAAAAATTTTGCGATAGCATTATAGAAAATTGATCAGATTTAGTTTAACATTATTAACCATCCATCACATTAAATAAGATTTAATATATCAATTTTTGAATTAGGCCGAACTAGTAAGATAATGTAGCCTTGAGTACTCTACATAGAGTAAATCTCTCCTATTAATAAATCTCTATTTATTGGCGATTTCAGCAAGGTAATAACTTTATTTTAATAAATTTTCTATTTAGATAGATTTCATATATTCAAATACATTTCTTTATGAAAATTTCCTTTATACTATAACAATGCTTTCAAATTCGATTCCATCCAAAGAAATATTAAGGTTTTCGAGACATAAATCTTAAAAATTCATTCCATTAAATATTAAACAATAAAACGCTTTAATAATGGAGAACAATCCCACTTAAATCAATTATTTTCTTTTTTCATTAATTGTATCATAATCTTGAAATCACAATTCTATGCAATCTGAGAGATTAATCAACAAGACTCTTTCTTATTTGACTATAATTGATATCTAAGCTTGGAATTACATTATAAATGTAAGCTTAATTTTCAATAATCCTTAAGATATAAAGATCTAAATTATACTCTTATTGATTAAAAGTTATCTTAATCACAAACTTCCTTTCGTCTAATGATAAGAATCTTAAAAACTCATCTAAGTTTAGTGAAGAACAAAAATAGGTAAATAATTTTAGTAATTCTATATTCACTGTCTTATCTTTCATTAGTAAGGTAATTTTTCATTTATTAATGTCATATAAAGTCAAATTCAAAGAGTTAATATTTTCTTATATAATTAATAATAGTTATTTTCATCATTTTCAGATAAACTATCCAAAATCATCTCACCTCTCTTTGAATTAAAGGTATCACTCTTATAGTATTTAAAATTCTAAAATATCTAATTTATGTATGGAAGAACTGAATTGGGTTATGTATGCAAAATTGTAGATATAATTTATGATTGACCTTTTACGAACATATCCATAAATTACACGATTATTATTAGTTTACTGTTATTTAGTTATAATAAATCGATATTTTTTTAGAACTATTAAATTATTTGAGAAATGATTATAAAAAAAATCTATTTGCTTATAAGTTAATTGCTTTAAATTTAGCCTACCTAATTATTGAATCAGATTTTAATTTGAGGATTATAAAATTATTTAATAGAAATTTTTAATTTTGTAGAGCATAATTATTGGCAAATCCATATCAGCCTTTAAATATAAAACACTTTTATAATGATAAAACATCAATATTAATAATTCTATATTCATATTAAGGGATTTGTGTAATTAAAAGACCTAACCCGTTCTTTTTGTTTAAAGAGTTTGTAATATTCATAAATCAAAGAAGTTTTAGGACTTCGAGAATACTTGAATTATTTATAAATTAAAAATAATTAGTATTAAACTTAAGAAACTGGTAACTTTTGAGGGAGGCCTTTTTGAAGCTACAAATAAATTAGAGAGTGATTTTAATTTGTTTTTTGTATTACCTAAAGTATATGGGACTAAGTCTTTAGAAAAAAATTACCCCATCCATTAAATCATTATTTAAGCTTCAAAGATCTCAAATTGTTAACTCATCATCTTTTATGTAAGTTTGGGCGAATTAAACACATTAACTCAAAAATCATAAAAGTTTTTCTTACTAAATGATATATCCATTTTATTGTATAAAACCCAAAAGTAAAGTGATAAAAATTCAATTTTATTTAAAAAATGAAAATGAATTGTAGAAAAGATCTAGATGTGTATAAAATCATGGCTTTAACTAAAGAAGTTGATTAAGTAGTCTTTCCTATTCTCATTCAAATATTAAAAAGTTAGAAAGTTTAAGATTGCTTAGAATTTCTCACATAAAATCAAAATCAATTCCTTGTAGAAATAGAAAGATCAAAGATCGAAAAATTATCGCTGCTTGATAAAGAATAGACACTCAATGCAGAGACGAACATCAAGAGAATAACAGATGTTCTCAAAAAAATTAGGGGTCATTAATTTAATGAACTGAATTGCTCGTTGGATGATTACAAAGAAATTAAAAAGGATTTGATAATTAAAATATCATGGGATAAGAAAATTATAGAATTTCTAAAATTTTTAGTTCGTGTCACGAGCTTAGATGATAAATATATTTAGTGTGGATCAAATTCTCTTCATTTATTAGTTCAAATGAAGGTTGATTTGAAAGAATAATGTTTTGAGAATATAAGAATTAGAAATACATCTTTAATAGGAGCTAATTTGGCAAGATGTGACCTTAGTGGATCTGAGTTTGACAATGTTGTTATTAGTGGAATGAATTTGAATTAAGCTAAATTATTTAATTGTAAGTGGAAGAGTTTATTTATAAATGAGGGAATGTAGTTGATTGGGCATAGCCATAGAGTCAATTAAGTTAGTTTTTCTCCAGATGGTAGGTTTTTAGCATCTTGTAGTGATGATAAATCTATTCGTTTGTGGGATGTGAAAAATGGTAAAATCAAGTCAATAATCAGAAGAACTGGGGAAGTTAAATCAGCCTGCTTCTCACCAAATAATCAACTATTAGCTTTTAGCATGAGAAAATTTGTGTATTTATGGAATCTTTAAACAAGAAAACCAATATTTAAATTAGATGGTCATTTGGATTTAGTTTATTCAGTCAATTTTTCTCTTGATGGTGTTACATTAGCATCTGGTAGTTATGATAATTCTATTCGTTTATGGGATGTTAAGACAGGATAATAAAAAGCCAAATTAGATGGTCATTCTAGTGATGTTATGTCAGTTAGTTTCTCTTCTGATGGTACTATATTAGCATCTGGTAGCGTAGATAACTCTATTCGTTTATGGGATGTAAAGACAGGATAATAAAAAGCCAAATTAGATGGTCATTCAAATTATGTAATGTCAGTCAATTTCTCTCCTGATGGTACTATATTAGCATCTGGTGGTTCAGATATGACTATCCTTTTATGGGATGCTAAGAGAGTAAAAGAAATAGCCAAATTAAATGGTCATTCGGATTGGGTTTATTCAGTCAATTTCTCACCTGATGGTACTACATTAGCATCTGGTAGTTATGATAAGTCTATCCGTTTATGGGATGTTAAGACGGGATAATAAAAAGCCAAATTAGATGGTCATACAGCCGGAATTCTATCAATCAATTTCTCTCCTGATGGTACTACATTAGCATCTGGTAGTGATGATAAGTCTATTCTTTTATGGGATGCTAAAACAGGATATTAAAAAGTCAATTTAGATGGTCATTCTAACACATGTTATTCAGTCAATTTCTCTCCTGATGGTGCTACATTAGCATCTGGTAGTTCAGATAACTCGATTCGTTTATGGGATGTTAAGACTGGTTAATAAAAGGGCAAATTAGATGGTCATTTAGGTGGAATTCTTTCAATTAATTTCTCTTCTGATGGTACTACATTAGCATCTGGTAGTTATGATAAGTCTATCCTTTTATGGGATGTTAAGACAGGATAATAAAAAGCCAAATTAGATGGTCATTCAAATTATGTAATGTCAGTCAATTTCTCTCCTGATGGTACTATATTAGCATCTGGTGGTTCAGATATGACTATCCTTTTATGGGATGCTAAGAGAGTAAAAGAAATAGCCAAATTAAATGGTCATTCGGATTGGGTTTATTCAGTCAATTTCTCACCTGATGGTACTACATTAGCATCTGGTAGTTATGATAAGTCTATCCGTTTATGGGATGTTAAGACGGGATAATAAAAAGCCAAATTAGATGGTCATACAGCCGGAATTCTATCAATCAATTTCTCTCCTGATGGTACTACATTAGCATCTGGTAGTGATGATAAGTCTATTCTTTTATGGGATGCTAAAACAGGATATTAAAAAGTCAATTTAGATGGTCATTCTAACACATGTTATTCAGTCAATTTCTCTCCTGATGGTGCTACATTAGCATCTGGTAGTTCAGATAACTCGATTCGTTTATGGGATGTTAAGACTGGTTAATAAAAGGGCAAATTAGATGGTCATTTAGGTGGAATTCTTTCAATTAATTTCTCTTCTGATGGTACTACATTAGCATCTGGTAGTTATGATAAGTCTATCCTTTTATGGGATGTTAAGACAGGATAATAAAAAGCCAAATTAGATGGACATTCTAACACAGTTTATTCAGTCAATTTTTCTCCTAATAATTATACATTAGCATCTTGTAGTTCAGATAAGTCTATCCGTCTATGGGATGTTAAGACAGGATTATAATAAGCCAAATTAGATGGTCATTCAGGTGGAATTCTATCAGTCAATTTCTCTCCTGATGGTACTATGTTGGCATCTGGTAGTTTTGATCACTCTATTCGTTTATGGGATGTTAAGGCAGGAGAATACAAAGCCAAATTAGATGGTCATTCAAATTGGGTTTATTCAGTCAATTTCTCTCCTGATGGAACTACATTAGCGTCTGGTAGTTCAGATAAATCTATTCGTTTATGGGATGTCAAGACAGGATTATAAAAAGCCAAATTTGATGGTCATTCTCGTGATGTTATTTCAGTCAATTTCTCTCCTGATGGTACTACATTAGCATCTGGTAGTGTAGATAACTCTATTCGTTTATGGGATGTTAAGGCAGGAGAATAAAAAGCCAAATTAGATGGTCATTAAAATTGGGTTTACTCAGTCAATTTCTCCCCGGATGGCACTACATTAGCATCTGGTAGTGATGATAATTCTATCCGTTTATGGGATGTTAAAACAGTAGAATACAAAGCCAAATTAGATGGTCATTCAAATTGGATTTATTCAGTCAATTTCTCTCCTGATGGCACTACATTAGCATCTGCTAGTTATGATAACTCTATCCGTTTATGGAATGTTAAGACAGGTAAACAAATTTTACCATCGGATAATCGTTACATTGAAATTTAGCCATACTTTGAACTCCCCATAAGTCCAAATAACGCTCTTCCAGAAGGTGGTTTTAATTTTTTACTATTATTTAGCTACTTCTATTATTACAATTCTCCTGATATCCCAAAAGCTAATATTTTAATCATAAGGGGCTTTAATTTTGAAAGGAGATTTTGTAAACCAATCTGGCATAGATCTAAAGACATTATTTAAATAAAAAGGAAGTTGCATTTTAGAAAGCCAAATTCTAGGGAAATAACTTTAAAATTGATTTTTATAATTTACAAATCAATATACAAAATAGTTTTACTCTTTTTTATTTTTGCAATACATATGTATTTATAGTACATTTCAAATTGTTAAAACAGTGGAGAATTTCATTTTTATAATGCCTTTCTAGTCTGAGTATCATTACTTGCAAGGCATCGATAATTTCCCTATTCTATAACGATAATCTGAACACTGGTACCAATGGAGTTCTATTGCCTTTGGAGGCTAAAGAAAATGACAGTTTTTAGAACTCTTTCCATATCACACATACACATGGGTATTTGATTCGCTGTCCTTTTACCTAGTATTCGAATTTGTGCAAGGTAAACATGTAATATAAACAAAACCTTTATCAGGAAGATGATAAATACGAACCGTTAATACAATAGAGATATATACACTTGCTAGAATATGATGAGAAATACCTTTGAACATAATGCTCAATGAGAATGAACAACATTTATTATCGATAATAGTACAAAGAGAGAGATTCTCTGCCCTTCTAATCATCATTGTAAAATATAGCTTTTCATTGCTTCTATAAATACAATTTGAAGTGAACTATCATAAAATACTTTTTTATTTAGCTCGCTCTAATAGTTTCATCAAAATTTAATTCTGCATTCATCTATAAATGCAGTTACTGAGCACAATCTAGCCACTTCAATTATACCATTAGCCAGGTAAAGTTCCTTAATATTGGAGAGAAAGGTTTACACATTGTTAAACGCAGTTAGACTCTTAACATATGTTGAAGCAGCTGATTAGCATGCAGCATAAGGTAATTCTAGCTGACAATATGGATATATTAAACTTATAGAACTATTATACAAATTGTTGAGCTTGCGTTACAATAAATGTAACCAGAAACAAAAAACGCCTCACAATACGCATTTGATTCTTAATTGTCAACAAGAGGCTCAAATTAACTAGAAAGTTGCTACCTTCATTACATTTTATGCATCCAACAATTCATAAGATTAGACTTGAATTTTAGAAAAATTCCCTTTAAGATTAAATTTTACTTCCATGCTTTGACACATGTTGGATCGTTTGAATATAGGCTTTATAAGCTTATAATCTAAGTAAAACAACAAAAGTGAGCAATATTTATTAAATATCATTAAGGCAGAATCAGCAACGCCATTAGTATAGGCAGTGAAGTTGATGAAGGCTATGAAGTTTACAGGGAGTTGATCATAAAGTGAGAGCTGTAGAATTTAGCGATGTGTCATATTAATATCAAAAACTATTTATAACGATCCAAAATATCGCAGCAAATATAAGTGAAGTATAGAGTTCTGCATTAAACAAATATGGAGGTGCCTAACTCGTAATGAGATTTTAGGTTCACAAAGAATAAGTAAAAATTATGTACATGAAAGGAAAACTCGTAGAATGTATGCAAGAGAAATTAGTAGTAGTGTCAGAATACTTTGAGGAATAATTTAGTAGTTTTACAGAATGTTGATGAGATGATTTCAATTGTAATAGAAAAACAGCCTCATAAATTCCGCTTTTGTTTAGGCCAACATACAAAGATTCCAACTCTATTTCTTATGTATTCATTTCCACATACCTAAAGTTTGTATGATCTACGTACTTTTTATATGAAAAATTTCGTTTTGCAAAATCGTCACGTTAAATTAGGTATTCATCAAGAACGTGCCAAAAAAATTTTGCCTTTATTCTCAAGTTGAATCATTTTTTATGCAAAATGATTGTTTTCATGCGATGCACCCTTTAGTTGCGTGGTTAATAACACTCATTGTAGATAGTCAAGAAACTGTTTCATTCCTAAAATAAATAACATATGAAGAATACATAAAACCAGCATAAACGCTTGATAAATAAGATAAAGAGGATTCAAAGTTGTGAAAGTTAACCAAAAATTATTAAAAATGATCCATAAGAGTCTAAAATATAGCAGTTCAGAATGTTGTGAGCAATATTTTGAGTAGAGGATGGTGCTCAGTGTAATTTAATTGAGGAAATGTAAGAGAAAGTGCAAATAATCTAATTTCAGTATTTTAAACACAAAATGGATCACAAGTATACTTATAAAAGTAAGATTTTCATTGATTATAGTTTAAAGGAAGTGGCAGTCACAAAATCCTCTGTAAATTTATCAAAGAGTGAATTGAAATATAAGGTAAGAATTTAATGATGTAGTTGGTACATCAAGTATAAATATAATTTATAACATACTTAAAATTATGATGGATAAAAACTTATAATCATTAAATGAAAGCATGAAGGAGATAATACCTACAAGCTTGCAACAGAAAAGTATTCCAATCCTATTGTTTTAAGAAATTGCCTGAACATCAGCTCCAAGGAGGAACACATTTCTAATTTTTAATATCAGAACATCACTTACAGGATGTATTGCGTTTTGATGTAGAGTCCCGTCGTCAATACACAATGCACAAATGTTAGAGTTCAAGTACTCCTTACAAGATGATTTTGATAATATTAACAAATCTAGCTGTCTTTTGGATATTAATTTTGCTTAGCTGTAAAATTACAAAGTAGAATAATTAGATCAATAGGTTTTCCTTGTATTTCTACAAGTAATATAACTGAAGTCAGGCCCAGATACATGTACTTCTGAAAATAGATCTTGATCTACAAAATATTCGAGTTAAGTTCTAATTTAGTGGCAACATTCTAGCAAACGGGTATAATATCCATGTTAAATACCTCAAAATATAATTATTTATTGCTCTTATTCCTTCAATACTTTTAAGCATTTTCTCTACCTGATTCTGAGCTTGTAATCACAATTACATTTTATTCAAGCCTAACTTAATCCTGCCACTCTTGCTTAATTATTTAGATTAAGAGTATTGAGACCATTCACAAGTTATGTCTCTCTAGGAGAATGCTTTTCGTCCAAAAATGGAGTTAATTAATGCATTTGTTGGATTAAGATTCCTTTTGTTTTGTATAAGGTTGAGTAGTTAGGCGTAGCGAAAAAAATACTAAAAAAAACACATATTGGTGAAAGGGATGATAATTAGGAGCCTGGATTGCGAAAAAGTTTTTATGGCATAAGATTTTGAGGAATAATTTGGAAGTGATTACGGTCAAATGAGAATAGAGACCAATTTATGTCCTAATTGAATTATCTCTGCTTGGCATTTATTCAATCATCAAACCATCATTTAAGCATGAACATCAGCTGATGGACTAAGCACATTATGAGTATTTTTATTTCGCGTCCCAAAATTTTGTTGTAAGATCATTACATTTAATTATTGTGTTGCATACCCTTTGCTTCAAATAAAATGTAAATTTAAGGTAGAAATATGTTTTTTTCCATAAGTAGTATTAACTAGTTCTTCTTCTTATTGACTTCAGACCGATCCCCTTTGTACGGAATTACTTCCGCTTGTAATTTGGTCAATCATGGCTTTTTCTTAATGATCATATCAACTAAGTTGAAATTGTTTAAGTTAAAACTTATGCTTGCTCCAATATTTTTTATGACAAATATTGCTATTTTAGTGCGGCTTGTTATCTAAAATAGAAGATGTTCAACTTACTTACTTACCAAGCTTTTCTTTTTGGAATAACATCCATACATAATTTCAATGTGGAAACGTAACACATAGTGCACATACTGCATTCAGAGCTTTCACAAATTAATCCTTGAACTTCTCTTCTATTTGTCTGTTTGTCGCTGGAAGCAATTTTATCATTTATATAGTAGTTCTTGTGATTCACTCTCATATCCTGTCAATTATATTCTGATAATAAAGGTTCAGTGATGTTAGGTATATTAGATCTAAGCTTGAAACCTGCACGATTTGTGAATTCTAGCATTGCTTTAAAATATTTGCAAAATCTAATATAGTTAAAATTCATCCAAGTGCCTTCATCTTGCCTTTATGCTAATCTTTATTATAATAAAATTACTTGGTATGAAGAGAAAATAGCTTATTTTAAACAATATGCAGCGCATCAACCGTCGTACAGAAAATTAACAGTCTATTTCTACCGGCGGAAATAAAGTTCTAGCTCAAGATAAATTGTTACATCTATTTTAAGTAGATTATAATATTATGTTTAGATCTAGGAATCCATCCTTGCATAGAATAACTGTTTGTCCTGTTTCTTGTATTTAATATACACACTAAAAATTGAGTACTTTGATAATGAAGACAAGAGGAGGAAACCAATTCATTTATTTAATGGATCAAGAAGTGAGAGGGAGGAAATATTCATCAATTCAACTTCATTATATTCTTAAAAGTCTAGCGGATAAGCCACATGTTTGCACAATCACATAATTGTATTACTCCCATAGCAAGAAGAAGTATCATTAAATTAAATTAACAATGTTCATCATAATACTTTTACAAGTGCAATCTTTGACAAGCTAAAGTCAATCAATATTCTTAGGGCATGCTATCACATATAGGATTTTGCAAATTTATGACCAGCAATCTGGTAAATAACAAAATATACTTTGATTTAGGTTGCACGAAAAAAAAACTTTACCTACACATGAAAACAAATATATGATGTGTCTAATATATTTTACATAAAGCTATAAATTAAAAATTACTGAAGTAATAGCATTAACACGTTAGGGGCTCCAATATTAACTATAAAAATTTTGCTTAAGAAAATTTGTATTAATCGAATATAAGTAATATTCAAATATACATAATTTACAGCATTAGGTGAAGCTTAAATTGGTATTCATATAGGATTTCAGTAGCTTAGAAGTTTTATAGATTTCATTTATATTATAATAATCTATATATCATTAAAATACATTAGTATGAAGTTGTTATTGTAAATCTACTAAAGCATGGATCAGAAATTGATGATCAATATGCTTCAACAAAGTCATCAGCATGTAGTGTAGAAGTAGTTAATTTCTTAGCAATAATTTGATTTCTTTAGGCTAAGAGGTTTACATTTAGATGTAATCTGTAAATAATCTCATCCTTCTACAAAACATGAATCTCTTGTTATGAATTTAGTTAGTAAAAAAATATCGAGCTTTACCACTAGCGCTAAAAATGAGAGGGTAAGCAAAATGTGCACTAATAATAGGCACCCAACAATGAAGGAAGGCAGATTTAGATTTTGATCACGGTTGTCCTAAATACATGGCGTATTCAGATCTTTCAGCGGTAAGATTAATTAGTATTAGAAAATTGATACCTAGATCATGCTGATAACATAAGAGAAAAATGCTTAATCAAAATTAGCTAAGAAGATTAGAGCTGAACATTAGAGAGTTTGTTAAATATATTTAATAATAGGTGTACACATTTAGAAAGGCCATTATAAATTTGAAGCTGCTTAAAAAAGACTTAAACGAATATTTATTTTATCTAAGCAAGTTAAATGATGCATCCAATTACTGAGATTATAGGAGATAGAAATTCATATATAATAATAAGATTAAAATATTTGCCTTTAATATAATATCCACTAAGTGACTCTGAGCCAATGCATACCAAGCAAAGATGATATCAGAAGCTTAAACCAAAATCTTATGAGAAATAGTTTAGGACATATTTGCACTGATTATCGTATATTTAGATTTACATTATTACAAATAATAATTAATATAGTAATATATCCATTGTAACTATACTCAATTCGCTTTAAACTGGAATCCCTGAGCATATTGAAGGGAGGAGCGTACTTATATGCAAAGACAGTATTGAGAACAATCTGACTGATTGCAGAAGATATTTACAGTAATGGAATCAATAAAAAATTGCATCAATATCTATTCATAATATCACAGACAGCATATGATGATTTAAATTTGCTTAAATCTTACCAAATGTTTAACATTGCAAAATCAGTCGCCATTTAATTTGAGCAGTATTCACATATTACCAAAGGGATGGAGTTGCTATTTGAGTAACAAAGTTGAAAAGTAATATAAAATGCAATTGTAAAAATGCTTCTCAGTCACGACGGCAGGTAAAGGAGCGTACAATTCGGATTTAGCGATCCAATAATATCTTAACAATTTACACATTTAAGAGTCAAAAAATAGTATCTTTTCATAAAATCCTTATGAGTTGGATCAGCATTAACCACATGAAGTGCTTTAAGTGGATAAAGAAACGTTGCAACTCCAATGAGAGTAAGTGCACGAATTTTAAACTGTAGTTCCTGAAAATGCACTAACACCAGAAATCTGGTAAAATTATAGCCTGAGTTAAGGGCTGAAAATTTAAATATGTTAGGCAAATTGAGTTGTAAACCAATAGTATTTATTTTTTAGAACCATGCCTATTGATCTTAGCTTCAAGATTCGAAAACAAATATATGCTAATATGAGATAAATCAAAAATAGATAAAGTTTTTCTAAAGCAGCTGGAATTGAGTAAATTATCTTTCATACATTAAAACTTAAAATAAAGGTATAATAAGGTGGATTAAATAAGAAGCAAAGTTTACATGTTTGTTGCAAATATATTGAAGTCAGAAATGTTAGGGCTTAATTGGTAAAAAGTAGCTTTCAAGATATGTGAACACATTCAAATGGATGTAAGTGATAGACTTCTCCTCCTATATGAATCGTATTTTAAATGAATGAATAATATAATGTGCATAAAGTCAACACTGTAGAATCTAGAATTTGATTTATGCCTTATAGATTTGTGTTCTGCTTAGAAAACGTTAGAATATTGACTAATGCATTAATCTAGGCAACCTCAAATTTAGAAGTAATCCTGATCATATTTTGGAAATGATGTCAATAAAATTTGATAAAAGTTCCTTATCAAGGTTAACTTTAATCAACCAATCATATCTCTCTAGTATACTATAACAACCAAGAGTTGAAAATGGCTAGGCTTTCTAAAATAGGTATACTCATTGGCCTATATGAGGTAGCTGCTAGTGTACTTTACATAATACTAGGTACTGCAGTAGCTGAACATAAATATGATTGTCAGGAAATTTCAATGCTAAAAGGCAGAAAATATAATCTCCATTATATTGTTGAGTGACCAAAACCTGCAATTTGAAGCTGTAGTAAATGTCAAATATAACCACGGTACTATGCTTTGTCATAATTCTTGAATGTTAGGGAAATGAAGGCTTAAGCCCAAAATTTATTTCATAGACAGAAACATAGAAACAGTAGGATAATTGCTACTCGTAGTTGTTATTTGCTCGTAATTCTATTTCTCATAGCAATTAAATCTAAAATATTTCAAACAATTTGTATTAATATTGCAAGGATTATTAAAGTTTTTGAGCCGATATTTTCACTGAGTGTATTTTCTCCAATTCAAAATTAAAATTAACAAGCTGTATAAACAGCAGCAATTGTAGAACTCATTATATGACAGGTAGGAATTCTAGATCAGAAGTAGCCAGTAACACAATCAGATAAAGTAGCAGAAAGCATCTGCAGATAACTTTAATCGAATGGGCAGTAAGCATGCATTATTTCTAAACGTGCACATAATACTTGCTATTTCTTGGATCATTATGATTTCGGATTGTATTAAATAGATCAAAACATGGAATTTCGAAACAGGAAAATTAATTTTATCACATCTGTTGACCAAATTAATCAAAAGGAATGGAAGTTTTTATAACCTTACTAGTAATATAATGGATCTGTTAAATGATTAACATTAATCAAATACAAAGTTAACTGATAAATTAAATTAGTTCTTTCTTTGAATTAATTTGCAGTAATTGTGAATATGCATGAATCTATTAATTATCTTTTGGTTTTTGTATTGTGGAATGATGCCATTTTCCATATAATTCAAACAAAAAAATTACCATTTTTGTTAAGAATTAGGAATGATAAGATCTTAGCTATTGTATTTTATACATAAAAAGATAGTAAGACATGTGATATAACTCTAAACAAATACGTTTAATTAATAATAGTATGTAGACATAATTTTCCGTTTTATTAAGTGATATCAAACTATATATAAGATTGAAATATTTGAATATTATTCTAAACACAAGAAGTATTTGTACTATAGTTATTTGATTATTGTTGTAAGTTTTTCTAATCAATAAGGGATAATGAAGAGATATTTCTTTAATTTAAAGAAAATCATTCTCCAAAATAAAGTTAAAATTTATGGGAAAAAGCTAAAAAAATTATTACTTATAAATGAATTTACATAATTTTTTGATCAAATTTCAAAGTATTTACTGATATACTTTAAACCAATAAGTTGTCGTTATAGAGCAAAAAGAAAAATCATAATTTCATGTCATTACGATAAATTATTGATGATTTGCAAATTCTCATGTCACATTGATACTAAAATAATTAGAATTTCTGCTCCTTTATAGAATAATTATTACAAATTTTGAGTTCATGATTTAAAACAGATAATCGAAATAATCAAAGGAGTAGATATAGATATAATTTTGGACATCAATTCTAATTTTGAAATATTATCATATTGATTAGGATTTATTTTTCGCCATTTCTCCCCATGAAGGATCTATTTTAATCCAACAAGCTCATGCTATTTGTAAATTATTATGGTCTGAATCTTGCCAAAGTGTAAATATGATACAATTTTATTCTCTCACTTGCATGTACATATTTTTTACTTTGATTTGTATTGGATTTGAATTTCAATATGGATGTGTAAATCAACTTTAAATATTAATTGAAATATAGTGAGTCCTTAAACAATAGAATCTTGATTTTATATATTAAGTTGTCTGAAATTTAAATTTAAGAGAGTATGAAATATATAAAAATGAGCTCATTTAGATTTAGTTGCAGAATTTATTGAGTATTAAGAAATTTACTTTAGATAAAATTTTAGCACTTAAGAAAAACACATCCTAGAAATTTTCAAATCATCGTAGGATGAAATTATAAACATTAATTCTTAAAACAATTAGAAGGAAGCTAGGTAAACTCATGATTTAAAAAGATGATAAAAATAGAAAAATGAAAGTTATCAACTTAAACTACTGTGAAAAATGAGAGATAATCAAATGCAAAAGTTTAATCTAAATTTTATTTTCTCAAACAAGAAAGTTTTAAGGCTCTCATTAGTCTCCACACTCTCAAATCTCTGAATTTTGCCCTATTTTTGATGATATTTAAATCGAATGAAGAAGTGAATTAGTATCTTTAATGTGTTTATCTAGTTAAATTAAACTGTTATGCGAATTATGAATATTCTCATTTTGAAAAAAAGTTGTTAAAAAAAACTTTGCTACAATTTATGGGAATAAATTTGAAGTGTAGGAAAAAAGGAAAGGTAATAAGGATTAAAAATCCTTCAATTTTTTTCATTAATTTTCTTGTGAATAAATAACAAATAACAAGACTTGATTATGATTATAAGAATAGGGAGATGAGAATTCAATGGTTCCGCATAGGCCAAATGAAAATCTTAATCACAATTAAGCTTCTAATGGATTCTATTCGTTCTGAAAAAGTTATACAAAACTGCTTAATAGAATAATTTGGATGAAACTTAAGATAAGTCCAAGAATTAACATTATTGATAAGTGAATCAATTTTTGAGCCTCGCTTTGCAAATAAAGGTATTTCTTCCAAAAAGAACAACTAATCGGTTAAAGCTAGCTCAAGTTTTAGATAAAACTAAATGCAAAATAGTACTTAAATTATTTTCAATATAAAATATTTTTATCGTTCATTAACTCTAATCAAAAGCTTAAAATTTTTCAATATGTACCAAGTTAGTTTTGATATATTAAACCAATTCAGTTTATTCTAAACCAAACCTCATTATAAATTTCCTTTTATATAATTCAGAAAGAATTAGGAATTAAATTATAAATATTAAAATTTTAGGTTGTTCATAGAGCATGATAATTTGATTTTAACATAAGAAACACCTTCCAATAAGCACTCTAAAACAATAATTAATTTTATTTTAATTAAATATTGTGGAATAAAGGATTTCATATTGTTATTTTCTAATGTGATTAAAATTTTGAAAATCAAAATTTAATATTAAAATTAGGAAATAACATTTAGTGCAACCAAAAACTCTGTGTGATGATATTTCCTTCTGTCATAAAGGACAAAATTTGTATTTAAAATTGTATATCTTTAAAACTGCATTTATCATAATCACTTTTGTTTTTGTTCTTTAAAGTTTTCTAAAATCAAACTACCTTTTGATCTAAATAAATTTCTTAAATCTACACCTTAGTAATTAAAAAATTCTCCTTACAGGATTAATGCTCCTTGAGCTTCTAAATTAGGAGTTTAGGAAATTCGAAGAATTGTAATATAAGAGGAAGCTTAAGAATAGCATAAATTAATACTACTTTCTGTAATAAATAGTTTTGTTAATGCTGGTATTTCCAATAGAATGTCTTTGTACCGATTATCTGAGGGTAATGTTTCTTGTCCTGCTTTTACATCCGAGAAAGGGAAAGAGTTATCAGAACTACCAGTTTCAAATGAAATAGTGTCATAGCAGTTACATACTGAAATACAGCTGTTAGTAATACTATTTAGTTTGGCTTTGTATTAGCTGGTCGTAACATCCCATAAACGGATCGAATAGTCTTGGCTACAAGATGCTAATATAGTACCATCAGGAGAAAAACACACAGTGTTAATTTAATGAGTATGACCATCTAATTTGGCCTTTTATTTTCCTGTCTTAACATCATATAATCGGATAGTATTTTCATAACTATCAAATGCTAATGTACTACCATCAGGAGAGAAACATATTGAATGAATAACACTTGAATGACAATCGAATTTGCCTTTCTATTATCCTGTCATAACATCCCATAAACGGACAGAGCCATCAAAACAATCAGATGCTAATGTAGTACCATCAGGAGAGAAATAGACTGAAATAAAGTTGTCAGTAAAGCCATCTAATTTCGCTTTTTATTATCCTGTCTTAACATCCCATAAACAGATTTATTAAATACTACTAGATGCCAATGTAGTACCATCAGGAGAGAAAGCAACTTTGTTAACATAATGAGTGTGACTATCTAATTTGGCTTATCTTTATCCTGTCCTAACATCCCATAAACAGATATCTTTATAACTACCAGATGCCAATTTCGTAATATCAGGAGAAAAACAGATTGAAAGAATAAAATTGGAATGACCATCTAATATTGCTTTTTATTATCCTGTCTTAACATTCCATAAACGGATAGAGTTATCATAACTCCCAGATGCTAATGTATTGCCATCAGGAGAGAAACAAACTGACATGACACAATTAGAATGACCAACTAATATTGCTTTTTATTATCCTGTCTTAACATTCCATAAAAGGATAGAGTTATCATAACTCCCAGATGCTAATGTAGTGCCATCAGGAGAGAAACAGACTGACATGACATAATTTGAATGACCACATAATTTATCTTTTTATTATTCAGTCTTAACATCCCACAAACGGATAGACCTATCTGAACTACCAGATGCTAATGTACTGCCATCAGGAGAGAAACAGACTGAATTGACAAAATTTGAATGACCGTATAATTTATCTTTTTATTATCCTGTCTTTACATCCCATAAACGGATAGACTTATTTGAACTGGCGGATGCTAATATAGTACCATCAGGAGAGAAACAGGCTGACAAAACTGAGCTAGTATGACCATTTAATTTGGCTTTTTATTATCTTGTCTTAAGATCCCATAAACGAATAGAACCGTCTATGCTAACAGATGCTAATGTAGTACCGTCAGGAGAGAAACAGACTAATTTAGCTAAACTAGTATGACCACCTAAATTGGCTAGTGATTATTCTGTTTTAACATCCCATAAACGAATAGAACCGTCAATGCTAACAGATGCTAATGTAGTACCATCAGGAGAGTAACAGATTGAAATAACTGAGTTAGTATGACCATCAAATTTGGCTTTATATTTTCTCATCTTTACATTCCATAAACAAATAGAACTATCTACGCTACTAAATGCTAATGTAGTACCATCAGGAGAGAAACAAATTGAATTAACTTAATTTGAATTACCATCTAACTTGGCTATTTAATTCCCTTTTTTAAGATTCCATATATACGCAAACCTTTAACTGCTATAAGCTAAGGTTGTACCATTTGGTGAGAAGCAGATTGATCTTACCCTTCCATATTTTTAGATTATAGACATTAATTTACCTGTTTTAACATCCCAAAAACGGATAGTATTATCATCACTACAAGAAGCAAATGACTTGCCATTTCGACAAAAGCAAACTTAATTAACGCTATCACTATGACCATTTAACTTATTTAACTCATTAATGCCCAAATTCCTCCACTTGCAATTAAATAATATAGCTTAATTTAAATTTATTCCACTAATAATGACATTGTCAAAATCAGATCCACTTAAGTTGCACCTCACAAAATTCGCTCCTCGCAGTGAAGTATTTCTAATTTTAATATTTTCAAAAGATTGATTCTTCAAATCAACCTTCATTTAAATTAATAAATGAAGAGAATTTGATCCACATTATATGTACCTCTCATCTAAGGCAGTCAGATGAACTAAGAGTTTTAATAATTCTATGATCTTCTTATTTTAGGATATTTTTGTGATCAGATCTTATTTCATTTCTTCATATTCTTCTAATGAATAATTCTCTTTGTTAAAATCATTATCTTTAATTTTTTTTAGAAAATCTGTTACTTTCTTAATGCTATTTTTTCCAAAATTCAGCATCAATTCCTTATCCAATAATAATGAACATATTTCTTATTAGACTTGCGATTGATTTTGATTTTATGGGAGAAATTCTAGATTGCCTTATATTTTCTCTCTTTTGAGTATCTAAATGAGGACATGGAAGATTGAGTCATCAACATCATTGGATTAAGCCAAAAGTACATATAAGTCTTAATACTGATCCTTTTAACACCGCATTTTGCTTTAAAAAAAAATATTGAATTCTATTACTTTATTTTGAGTGTTATACTATAAATCAAAAAATTATCTTTCATAAATTTGTCAGGAAGAAATGCAATCTTTATAAAGTTTTGAAGTTTATGCAAATTATAATCGTTGAATGAACTACGATTTTATACTTATATATTCACAATACATATAATTTATATCAATAAGTAATTCAAAACATCATTAATTTAGAAAAAGACAGAAGGAAGTACTTCAAAGTAGTGGATCAGATTTACTGACAACTTTAATAGGTTTTCGAAATCTGTAGAAATGAAATTACCTCCTATCCCAGTAAAAAAGAATAAATATTATTATTTTCTGTCAGGTTAAATTTCATTTTATTTACTGTATGCACGTAATGTTGGGCTTGAATTGATCAAAAATAAAAACAAATATCCAGAAAACTGGAGTAATTAGAATCATACAAAAGAAAATCAAAAATAATAGCATTAGAATTTTATAGTTGAAAAATTCTATTTTATTAAAAAGAGACTTTTTTTTAAAATAAGATCAACAATCACAGCTTTCAGTTTCAGATTCATAGGCTAATTATTAAGCTTGTGAATCTCAATTTTAAAACAAATACCAAGCGAGAAAGCAATATTCATGTGGATTTTTTGATTTCTATATATTGAAAAGATAAATTAAATATTGGATCATTGCAGACAAACAAGCTTAGTATCGACCAGAAATCATTTAAAATCTGCGATATAATTCTCAAATCATCAAAATTTAACTCTAAGAATATCCAATATCAAACCTAGAAAGTAAGTAGTTGCTGGTAAATATCGATCTTGTCTACATTCTAATCCACATTAGATAAAACAATGAAAGACTTTTTTATTTACCCTGATAAAATCAGCCCCATAAATGTTACAACAATAAAGAGGACAGTTTATAGAAGCGCCACTTAGCTATATCAGTTATAAGTAACAAAGACCTAGTGGATTCTTCCTAAAGATGGAGAGAAATATTCAAAGGTATTCATAACTTGCAACAATTGCAGTCACTTATTTAAATTACAAGTAGACTTTTTCTTTTCTTATTAGAGTCAGAAACTAATTAGTCGATTTATTTATATTACATTTTTAATTCAACAAACTAATAAATTTAGGGTTAAACCAAAATAGTGGTTTCTAAATATCTCAAATACGATCAAAGACAAAAATAATTAGTGGAAACTTCAATATTAATAGATAACGATTTCATCTATTTTTCCAGGTTCTACCTGACAAGGTGAAATCTTTGAGATGATAATAAATAGCTAAGATATTAATAGCAGAGCTGATCATACAATTACATTTCCAAAATTTGCTTATAGAGTCTAGAGCTAATTCAATTAAATATCTGTTTATTGCTTAATCTCCTTCAGTGTGTTCAGGGATATGATGAGCTAATTCTAAAATAAATATTTTATTCACTTATTGTACCAACCTAGGACTCCTAACTCCTACTTTCTTAGATCTTATTGAGTATTTCACTTTTACTCAAATTATTGAGTGTTTGACTTAAATACGATAAATAATCAATAAAGTCTCGCTTGAAAGGTTCCATAAATGGGAGAGAAAAATATTATTTACGATATTGAGATTTTCAATATTCAGAATTTATTTTTTGATCGTTTATGGCTACATCGGTTTAGTCAAGGAATTGAAGCAAAACTCAATCTTTCATAAAGTATCTAATGAATAGGTGATCATACATCAAGGGACGTAGAAATATAATTTTTGGAGAAAATTTCAGCTGGTTCATCTGCAGAGTCTTAGAGAGCAAAAAATGATTATGCTCATTTATAGGTGAGGATGAAACTGTTTGAGGCAAGCAAACCTTTTGGCACAAAAATTTATTGCGAAGAGGTTTAAATAAATGATTTATCCATTGTTGTATAGAGGTAATTATACTAAGTTCAGATTGTGTTTCTATAAATTGACTTAAGTTTGAATCTGAATCGTGTCTTTTTGCATTAAATTCGACTGCATGAACTATACAAATTCAAGAGAGATTAAATCCGTATGGAATACTACTACTCCATGCGCTTTAAAAAGTTAATGGCAATATGGGGATGATCGGTGAGAAGAAGAGAGATTATTTGTGAGTTATTTTTGGTTTTATTAAAGTAATAATTTTAATGTAGTCAACTATAGTTAATTCTAATAGGCATGGTTAGAGGACTATTTCTAATGAAATTTTGTATGAGAGACAATTTGAATACTGTGAACAAGGAGTTCAAACACTATTTTTTCTGCGGAATAGAAGAAAATTGGCTCTTCGTATTCGATAAGGATTTATCCACATATATGAAAATTAAAAAATGATCTAGTTGAGATAGCCATAATTTTGTTTATACAAGCACTAGATTAGAGAGTATATGAAGTACTTGTGCTAGAGCAAATTGACAAGTTGTAGTAGAGATACAAAAGCATGTCAGAAATAAAAGAGTCAAATATTTTTGAATGCTCCATCGATGGATCCCTTCTTAAATGTATAGAGTTTTGTGAAATTTTGAAGTTTTTGAAATATTCAGCAACTAAGCATTTATAAGCTGGAAATAATCATGAGATTAATCTCATAATAGGTGAGGACATATAAAAAGCATATATGCCTTGTAAAAATTGGAGAAATGCATGAATTATCCACATAACCTACCAAATAGATTTACAGCTTTTCCTGAAGTAAATGAATTTCTTTTTATTTTGAGCAAAGGATTAGAGGAGATGCAAAAATTTGTTAATTTTCAAAGCCCACATCTCTAATTTTATTATACATTTTTTAGGATATATATAATATTCACAATGACTATTGTAATTATCTGTAACTTCTGCATTTGCACAAAAATTTATTATATCACAACATCATATACATTCATTCCCACTTGTATCTACTGTGCATTAGACAGTAAATCTATATTTATTGTATACAACTGTAACTTAGCCTTTATTTAAAGCAGCATTGGTTGTACCTGTAGAAATAGCACCTCTCTAATTATCATGAATTTAAGAACCCCATGTTATATTTACAGAAGCTTTATCTTTAAAGATGCTAATTTTGTATCCCAATTACGACTCATATTTTAATATCACAAACATATTACACACCTGATTAATTAGAAATTGCATTTCAGTATTTATCCTGAAGACTCTAATGGTTAATCCATTAGTGGAGAATGACTTTTAACTTTGGTGTTGACAAGTCTCATAATTAAGGATTATAAGATATCATTGTAGAATTTAAGTAAAATGACCAAGAATCTGGTTGATTTAATGAAAATTTATCTTATTGAGTTAAATAAATTAGCATTTAGTTAAGAACTCAAATTCTATTCTAAAATTCAAATTGTAGTTTTTTGATTAGTGGGAAAATTATTAGGTGGATTGGTTCTGCTAAAGATTATAATTTATTAACCAAATACTTCAACGTATCGATCTCTTCTAACAGCTTCTGAAGTGAGTCAAAACAAATCATCTCAAAAACTGATTTGCTTATCCGAATCAAAATAATTTGCAACTAAAGGTGATTGTTTAACATCATTCATTTGAAAAAATCAATAAATAATGGGCTTTCTTAGACTATCGTATTATTTTAGCAATTTATCAAATAGAATTTCTCAATGTGAGTACTCAGTTGGGAATTCTGCAAAATTTAGATTGAATAATAATATTACATTGTTCAGAAGTAATATGCGAAGGAAGAATATCGTAGTATAAATTTTCAGATTCTATGGTTTAGACAGATTAAATGCTTGAAAATCACTAGGTCAGTTAAATTGACTCTAAATGGTGGGAGGAAAATCGCATAAATTTGTTTGATAAGATTAGAAGAATCATATTTCAAAATGACGAAGGCCTACAATCAAATTTATTATTGAATAATGTAGTCGAATATTTTGATATATAAATACTTAGGAACTTCGTCAAGTGAAAAATGTAGTTTTATAATTATATTTATAGAAAAGATTGGTCTACTTAAAAGTAGAAGTTATATTTTCAATAAACTAGATTGAATAAAAATCCTTGTCTAAGATTAAAGTATCTATTAATAATATTTTCAAATAACTGGTCACATTAAAACTTAAGAGAGCAGATAATTATTGAGAAAGAAAACCTCTTAAGCCCGCTTGCTGACAGTTAAGTTCAAATTAAATTAATAGAATAAGTTTTAGAATGTTAGCTTTCAAATTAAAAGATAAATAAACCTAATTATTAGATTAATATTATAGAATATTCTAAATTAGATTAACGTATGGAATGAGTTAAAAAAGGAATATCAAAATTGTTGTATTCTTAAAATAAGAAATTAAATAATTCCTTCAATTAAGACTTCATTTTTCGGCAATTTGTAAATTACCAGCTAAATAATTAATGGAAGCAAAAAAAACTGATAAATATTTTACATAACCTAATGAAATTTCTTAAATTGGACTTTTATGAAGGATTTCTCTTTAAAAGTTAAGATGGATTATAAAAATAGAGAATGAGCTTTAGAAGTGATTAATTATTTTCATCATAATTCATAGACAATGAGAGACTCTAATCAAAATTCTCTGGTCCCTGTCAAAAAAATATTTCAGAAGATTTCTTGTTGTGGTGCTAAGTGAACAATGTTCTCAGAATACTCTTCTCATAATAACTAAAATGGAGTGATAGGCTTACGATAATGATAAAATAATTCTTGCTAAATACTTTTTGCCTATCAATAGTTTATTTTGATAGCATTTTAATTAATTTCTGATTTTCATACATCTGCTTCGATTAAATCTAAGTTATCAGACGTATTTAATTCTTCTATTTCGATTCAATGAAAATTATCAAATTTCTGAAGAGATTTTAAGAATCACGCTGTTCAATCAAACTATTACCAAGAAAGCGACTTGTGTAGAATGCTATTATGGTCAAATCGGAAATAGCATAGCCAACTTCAATTTGAAGACAATTTTATTTTAGATTTAAAGAATCCTTTGCCAATTGATTATTCGCTTGGATAATAAACTTGATTTAAATATTTAGATTATAAATTCATAAATGTTTATACTCTCCATTAATATTCTTTAATCATCCTTATGTACTATCTTTTCTTAAAAGTGATATTAATCACAGAATAGAAAGATTTATTTTATTGCCTTGCAATCCTTTGGAAAGGCTATCAGTAAAAAGTAAGATTATTTGAGTACACAACCAGTGGCACCGATAATTGCATCCTCTATTCCAAAAATACTTGTCTAATAACTTCACATCTTGTAAAACCTTATTATTATATGTAAGAAGTAATATTATTATTAAATAGTATTTTTTTTCAATGGCCAAAAAAATTATTATTATAAGATCTAATTCGTGTAAACATAATTCTTTATCTTGATGTCAATACTTAAATTGCGTAAGTGATTTAAGCATCTTTCCACTACTTGGAAATCTCAAACAAAGACGAATAAATCCTAAATGTGGGACGTTAAATTTTAATGTCTATAATATGTCAAAAAAATTCGTAGATTATAATCTTCATCCCTTACCAACCATCTCCAATTCTTATCCACTGATAATTGTCATCTACATTCCATAAAGATTTATTTATTCTTACCCTTTTATACCAACTAATTCGTACCCTGCAAAAATTGGATCCCCTATAAAGTCCCCTCCTCGTTATTTAAGGTTAGAAAAAAAAGGATCTCGCAATTTAACTTGTTATTATTCAAATTTGTGTGTGCTCTACATTGGTTTTTGTATTTAGGTTATTGGTGGCTTTTATTTTTTCAATTTAGCTTGAAGGTCTCAATACACATTAGATTATTGACCAGATTTCGTGTTATATGAAGGATTCTGTAATCATGATTAATAGAACCTATGCTTCAATTAAATCATTGCCAAAGTAATAAATAAATTATCATCAATTTTCTTTAACAATATACTAGATTTTACTCTTAAAATAAATCCATTTGTATGTCAAATTTACGATCTACTGTTTTACAATTTAAGATATGTGCATGTAATGAACAAGATTATCTGATTATTCAATTATGAAATTTATGTTAAACTGATTTCGTAATAACCTATTTTAGCTAATAATTACTAAATTACTAAATAAATTATTGTAAATAAAGGTGATGATGGTTGTGTATTTTTCCAATAATAATATATTAATTCAAATTTATTAATTGTGATTAACAATTATAGTATATCAATTTAATAAAAAAGATAGATAATGATCAAGTTGTAGATGAGTAATTTATTCAATTTGGAGAGGATTTATTATTTTAGCGCTTGAGTGATGATGGAGAGTATTTTATTGCTTGAGACAAGTCATTTAAAGAAGTATGAATTAGGAAATATAGATTTTGTGAGGAATATTAAAATATAAATTGAATATTTTATTATTTATTAATAATTTTCAACATATATCTTTAATTAGTTTGCAAGAAAACTAATATGAAAAGAAATAATTAATAAAAAAATTGTAGCCAATTATTATTTGATTAACTTATTTTCTTTCCAAATCATACAGAATGAAAGGACTTAAACTTATTCCTTCTATAAAAAATATAGGCTTTTTATTGTTCTAATAATGATGAGCAGTTATGAAAAAGGTGTAAAAATTACAATAATTGAAGATTATTGTAATTATGATATTTTCTGATATAATTTATGAGTGTGATTTAATAAATTAAACTATCTTGTTCGATCATAACTTAGTTCTGATTGTTCTGGGTTGAGTAATTATAAATTTATTGAGAGTGATTTTGGTCCAAATAATCATTTTACTATTCACAATTATTTTAATTATTTTATGATTTTACTATTGAATCTTATTCAAATTGCAAGTTTTAATTGTAATTAACTTCCTCAAGATATTCAAGCAATATAAAAGAAGTTAATAATATTCAGACTTTGAATTTCCTATAAAATTTTGAAATATATGAAAATCATAGAGACTTAATTTAAAACTACTTCTTATATTCCTAAATTTATGATACTATTAGCTTTATAAAACATTAAAAGTAAATTAATTTCATACTTTCGTATTTAATTACATAAAATCATCATCAATTGTTGTATAATCAAAAAAGATAAACTTAGACGATGGAAGGATAGAATCGATGTGCTGAAAAATTTAGATTAATTTTTTTAATAATAATGATTTGGGGTGGCTTCTAAATCTTTAATTTCTTTCTTTATTTAAGAAAAACATCAAAGGGTATTCAAAATTGTGTGGGCCATTAAGCTAGATTAATGCTGCTCAACAAAATAAATGTTTCTTTTGGTATACCTTTCTAATCAGTTAGATTGTTGTGAAACATAAAATTCCATTTGGATGTCAAAAATTATAGAAAAACTAGGATCCTAGTTTATATTGTTCAATAAACGCATATATTAGAGAAGCAAAACTAATTTATTTTTGGTATATCAAAGATAATATTTTTCNTCAAGTTGTAGATGAGTAATTTATTCAATTTGGAGAGGATTTATTATTTTAGCGCTTGAGTGATGATGGAGAGTATTTTATTGCTTGAGACAAGTCATTTAAAGAAGTATGAATTAGGAAATATAGATTTTGTGAGGAATATTAAAATATAAATTGAATATTTTATTATTTATTAATAATTTTCAACATATATCTTTAATTAGTTTGCAAGAAAACTAATATGAAAAGAAATAATTAATAAAAAAATTGTAGCCAATTATTATTTGATTAACTTATTTTCTTTCCAAATCATACAGAATGAAAGGACTTAAACTTATTCCTTCTATAAAAAATATAGGCTTTTTATTGTTCTAATAATGATGAGCAGTTATGAAAAAGGTGTAAAAATTACAATAATTGAAGATTATTGTAATTATGATATTTTCTGATATAATTTATGAGTGTGATTTAATAAATTAAACTATCTTGTTCGATCATAACTTAGTTCTGATTGTTCTGGGTTGAGTAATTATAAATTTATTGAGAGTGATTTTGGTCCAAATAATCATTTTACTATTCACAATTATTTTAATTATTTTATGATTTTACTATTGAATCTTATTCAAATTGCAAGTTTTAATTGTAATTAACTTCCTCAAGATATTCAAGCAATATAAAAGAAGTTAATAATATTCAGACTTTGAATTTCCTATAAAATTTTGAAATATATGAAAATCATAGAGACTTAATTTAAAACTACTTCTTATATTCCTAAATTTATGATACTATTAGCTTTATAAAACATTAAAAGTAAATTAATTTCATACTTTCGTATTTAATTACATAAAATCATCATCAATTGTTGTATAATCAAAAAAGATAAACTTAGACGATGGAAGGATAGAATCGATGTGCTGAAAAATTTAGATTAATTTTTTTAATAATAATGATTTGGGGTGGCTTCTAAATCTTTAATTTCTTTCTTTATTTAAGAAAAACATCAAAGGGTATTCAAAATTGTGTGGGCCATTAAGCTAGATTAATGCTGCTCAACAAAATAAATGTTTCTTTTGGTATACCTTTCTAATCAGTTAGATTGTTGTGAAACATAAAATTCCATTTGGATGTCAAAAATTATAGAAAAACTAGGATCCTAGTTTATATTGTTCAATAAACGCATATATTAGAGAAGCAAAACTAATTTATTTTTGGTATATCAAAGATAATATTTTTCTATAAATATCGCTTAGAATATTCAAAAGTCATGCCTCCTTCTTTAAAACATGAATAATTTCAGGTGATTTTCTTAATTTTTCATTTTTCTTGCTTGTTTCCATTAAGTCCATTCTCCAATGAAGATTGTATTAATTTCTTCCTTCTAATCAATCAGCGCTAAAGTAATATCTTCTATATGTGTTCATATTCTTATTATTCTAGTTGAATGTTCGATCTGGCTTTGAATAAAACCTTAAAAGTGTGATCACCAAAATCTCAATTTCCGTTAATGCCCTGCTTTTCTTTTGATCCTCTAGAATTTGATGTTGGGCGCGCAGCTTGTCTGAATACTTTCTTATTGTAGTTTTATTAATATTTCATATATAAAAATACACAAAACCCAATTACAATATGTAGAACTATTTAAGTCTTATAATTTTTGAATCGTCTTCAATTATATTGATAGAAAATTTTCAAAATGAATTTGCTAGGATATTTAGAAGTCGAAATTTCTTAAATAACAATAAAGTCGGTCAGAACCAAGAAAGCATAATTATAT